TGTGGAGTTACTAGAAATTCAGTGATGTGGCTAGGTACAAAATTAATACATAAGTAAATCAGTATGTTTCATATATATAACCACTAGTTAGAAGAAATAAAGTAAGAACACAATATTTATAATGGCAACAAAAGAGATAAAATTCCTAAATATATACATTTTTTCCTATGTTAATTCTAAGAACTCTGTGGAGAATATGTAAATGCTAACTGGTTTGAACAAAATCATAAAATTATTACACAATTATATTGTTGGACAGAAAATAAGATAATGGTGTCAATTCTCCAGAAGCTAATATGTGAGGTTTGTTTTTTTTTTTATTTTTAAAAATTTTAATTCCACTGTTGTTAATATATAGTGTTATATTAGTTTCAGATGTACAATATAGTGATTCAGCAGTTATATATATTACTCAGTGCTCGTCAACACAAGTGTACTCTTAATTATTTTTATTTTCAAAGATTTTATTTTTAAGTGATCTCTACACCCAATGTGGGGCTTGAACTTAAACCCTGAGATGAAGAGTCACATGCTGTACTGACTGAGCTAGCCAGGCGCCCCATGATAAGTGTACTCTTAATCCCCACCTGTTTCACCCATCCTCCCGTCCACCTCCCCTCTGGTAACCATCTGTCTGATCTCTATACTTAAGAGTCTATTTTTCGGTTTGTCTATTTTTTCTCCTTTGTTTCCTTAAATTCCAAATATGAGTGAAATCATACAGTATTTGTCTCTCTGACTGATTGACTTTGCTTAGCATTATACCCTCTAGATCCATCCGTGGATGGCAAGGTTTCATTCTTTTTGATGGATAAGTAATATGACATGGTATCTACATGCCACATCTTTATCCATTCATCTATCAGTGGACCCTTGGGCTGCTTCTCTTATCTTGGCTAATTGTAAATAATGGTGCAGTAAACATGGGCATGCATATATCCTTTTTTTTTTTTTTTAAAGATTTTATTTATTTATTTGACAGAGAGAGACACAGCAAGAGAGGGAACACAAGCAGGGGGAGTGGGAGAGGGAGAAGCAGGCTTCCCACAGAGCAGGGAGCCCGATGTGGGGCTCGATCCCAGGACCCTGGGATCATGACCTGAGCCGAAGGCAGACGCTTAACGACTGAACCACCCAGGTGCCCCTGCATATATCCTTTTAAATTAGTTTTTTTCTTTTTAAGATTTTATTTATTTATTTGACAGAGAGAGACACAGAGAGAGCAGGAACACAAGCATGGGGAGTGGGAGAGGGAGAAGCAGGCTTCCCGTGGAGCAGGGAGCCTGATGTGGGGTTTGATCCCAGGACCCTGGGATCATGACCTGAGCCGAAGGCAGAGGCTTAACGACTGAGCCACCTAGGCGCCCCTAGTGTTTTCATATTCTTTGGGTAAATACCCAGTAGTACAGTTACTAGATCATAGGGTAGTTCTATTTTTATTTTATTTTATTTTTATAAAGATTTTACTTATTTGTCAGCGCACATGAGCAGGGGGAGTGGCAGGTAGAGGGAGAAGGAGAAGCAAGCTCCCCGCTGAGCAGAGACCCTGACGTGGGGCTGTGGATCCCAGAACCCTGGGATCATGACCTGAGCCGAAGGCAGACACTTAGCTGACTGAGCCACCCAGGTGTCCCAATTTTTAAAGATTCTATTTTTAAGTAATCTCCACACCCAATGTGAGGCTCAAACACACAACCCCAAGATCAAGAGTTGCATGCTCTACTGACTAAGCCAGCCAGGTGGCCCTAGTTTGCTTTTTTATCTTAAAATTTTTCAAGTTTTTTGGGTGCTATAATACATATAACATATTATTTATCATTTGAACTATTTGTAGATGTGCATTTCAGTGGTATTAGTCACATTCATTCTCTGTCATTATGAATTTGCCTATTCTAGGTACCTTATAGAAGTGGAATCTCTATGTGTGTCTTATTTCACTTAGCATAGTATTTAAGGACCATCCGTGTTGTAGCATATATCAAAATTTCTTTCCTGGGGTGCCTGGGTGGCTCAGCTGGTTAAGTGGCCGACTCTTTTTTTTTGAAGATTTATTTGTCTGAGAGAGAGAGAGAGAGTGCACGCACAGAGTGTAGGGAGGAGCAGAGGGAGAGGGAGAGAGAAACCCAAGAAGATTCTGTGCCGAGCATGGAGCCCTATATGCGGCTTGATGTCACACAACCTGAGCCAGAACCAAGAGTCAGACACTGAGCTGACTGAGCCACCCAGGCACCCCACAGCTGACTCTTGATTTTGGCTCCTGTCACAATCTCAGGGTGGTGGGATCAAGCCCTGTGTCTGGATCCTTGCTCAGTGAGGAGTCTGTTTGAAAATTCACTCCCTCTGCCCCACCCCCTGCTCTGCATGCACGCTCTCTCTCTCATGTCTTCAAAAAAATTCCTTTCCTTTTTCTGGTGTGTGTGTGTGTGTGTGTGTGTGTGTGTGTGTATATATATATAAATATATATATATATTAAAGATTTTATTTATTTATTTGACAGAGAGAGAGAGAAATCACAAGTAGGCAGAGTGGCAGGGAGCAGCAGAGGGAGAAGCAGGCTCCCCGCTGAGCAAGGAGCCCAATGTGGGACTCGATCCCAGGACCCTGGGATCATGACCTGAGCCGAAGGCAGACTCTTTCGACTGAGCCACCCAGGCGCCCCTTTGGTGTATATTTTTATTGTGTGTACATGTCACATTTCATTCATTCGTCCATTCATCTTCTGATGGACGGACAGTGGGTTCTTTCTACCTTTTGGCTGTTGTGAACAATGCTGCCATGGGCATTGGTGTACAGATAACTGTTCGAGTCCCTGCTTTCTGTTCTTTTGGATATATAGCTGAGAGTGGAACTGCTGAGTTATATGGTAATTCTATGTTGAACTTTTTGAGGAATTGCCAAACTGTTTTTCACAGAGGCTGCATCATTTTGTTAATGTGTTTTTAAACTTTATATAAATGACATCATTTGTACATATACTAACTTGTTCTTTTACTGATCTTTTTAATAGATTTATCATTGTTAATATATGCTGTAATTTGTTGTAGCTTCTGCATAGTATTTTATTGTATACATTTTATGATTTATTCATGTATCCGTTAATGATGGGCTCTTAGGTTGAACTCCCCACCCCTGTTTAAAAACAGCCCTGTAATGAATATTATAGAAGTCGTCTTGTGCATATGTGTAAGTCATTAGGATATATACCCAGTAGTAGAATTGGAGCATACAGTATGTCTTTTCAACTTTACTAACTATTGCAAAATTATTCTCACACCAGGAGAAAGTGGGAGTTTCCATTTTCCTTATTCTTTGGATGCTTGGGTTATCAGATGGGTGTGAAAATGGTATCTAGTTGTTTCATCTTGCATTTCCCTGGCAGCTAGTGAGGTTTTGCCGTCTTTACCTTTGTTAAGTGACCTTCCAAGTTTCATTATGTGTAAATTTCCTTTTCAAAACATCTGCCAATTTCTTTTTGGGATCATTTTGTCCTTCAATTTTAGGATTTTTTAATACGCTGAGAATACTAATCTTTTGTTTTATTCTGAAAATCTCCTAATCTCTGGCTTTATGGTATCTTTTTAGTATAAAACTATGCAGCCCAGTACGGCAATCACTAATATAAATTAGATTTAATTTCAATTTAATTAAAATCATACATTTTTTCAGTAGCCACGTGGCTAGTGGCTACTGTATTGGACATTGCTGATACAGGACATTTCCATCATTGTAGAAAGTTACGTTGCACAGATCCTGATAGAAAGTTTTAAACTTCAACAGGTTTATCATAAGATTTCATTATGGATTGTGATTTTGTGTCTTTCATGAGTAATCTTTTAGCACCATTATGTCCAGGAGGTATTCTCTTACGTTTTCTTTTAAACAGTTTGCTTTTCTTAGTAGGTCTTAGAATCCATCTGGAATTTTTTTTTTTTTTAAGATTTTATTTATTTATTTGAGAGAGAGAATGAGAGAGAGAGAGCACATGAGAGGGGGGAGGGTCAGAGGGAGAAGCAGACTCCCCGCTGAGCAGGGAGCCCGATGCGGGACTCGATCCCGGGACTCCAGGATCATGACCTGAGCCAAAGGCAGTCGCTTAACCAACTGAGCCACCCAGGCGCCCAGAATCCATCTGGAATTTAATTTTGTGAATGGTGTTGATGTGAGGTCAGGATCTGACTTTATTTTCTTCTATATGGATTTTTGTTCTAGCATTATTATTTTGATAGTGGATCTACTCTACACTGAGATGTAATGCCTCCTCTGTCATTTGCCAGGTTTTTAGTGTGTGTGCGCTTCTTTTCTGGTGGGCTTTTTTACACTGGTATTTTAATTTTTCTTTTTCCTTTTCTTCTTCTTCCATATCCTTTTTTTTTTTTTTTTAGATTTTTATTTATTTATTTGAGAACAGAGAACAAAAAGTTCAACATAGAGAGAGAATGAGAGAGAGAGCATGAGGGGGGAGGGTCAGAGGGAGAAGCAGACTCCCCGCCGAGCAGGGAGCCGGATGTGGGACTCGATCCCGGGACTCCAGGATCACGACCCAAGCCGAAGGCAGTTGCTTAACCAACTGAGCCACCCAGGTGCCCCTTCCATATCCTTTCTTAACCCTTTCTTCTCCATTTTGAAGTTGGGGTCAAATTTTGACAAGTCCCTAAAAAAACAGACTTGTTGGGAATTTGTTTAGAATTGCATGGAATTTATCAAATAATTGGTGAGAATTGGTGGTTTTATACTATTGAATCTAATAATCATTTTATTCTAATTTTATGCCCCTCAGTAATAATTAGTGATTTTCTCCTTAAAGGTGAAGCACATCTTTTAATAGGATTTTTATTGTTTATTCATGTTAAAACTTTCACTAATGAGACTGATGTGTAGTTGAGTTGCATTGGTGTTATCCTAGCCCCATTAAGTGATTTGGGCAGCTTACTTTCTATCTTCTGTTTTCTAAAACAGTTGATATTTGGGATTTCTAGAAAATTCTGAATGTATTTTTCAGCTTGCAAGCAGTACTTTGAAAAGTATCCAGGAGACCATGAACTCCTTTGGGAGGTTGAAGGTGTTGGACACTGGTATCAGCGAATACCAGTCACCAGAGCATTACAGAGAGAAACACTTAAAATTACAGGTAAGAATTATAGGTTTCAAGTTGGAACACATGTCAAGCTTAAAGAGCAGAGCCTTTTAATGTTTGTGTCTCTTAGTCCAGAGTTATGGTATATTGTAATGTGACCTCTCTAGTAACAGATCCTCTTTTCTAAAGTTTGAATTTTTGTTATGTATTAACGTTTGGGTCACTAATAATAAGAGGACCTAGAATTATAATAGCCCAGCAGAATCTAACATTCTAGGAATTGGTGGGTAAGAAGGAAACACAGATACTGAATCAGCATAGAATAGGCATCAAGGAAAAAGAGTAGTCCCTGGTCTAATGCATCTTTCCTCCAAGTCACTAAATACAGATAACTAATACTTTATAATTGCAAGGTTTCATTATAACATATTGGTTAAGGAGATGCTCCACACCTAGATTTTCAACACCCTTCTGTTCAGGATGCTATTCAGGACTTTTGTGCAAATCAGTACAAACCATGTTACAATTAAAACCAAATACTGATTGGGTTACAATTTTTAAAATTCTTCTGTACACAGCAGTTTCTCAAAATGAAGCTAAAAGACCTATGTCTGGAGAGTATGGTCTTTCATCTGTTCCAGAATATGAAGCAGAAACTGAAGACAATCAGTCTAGTGAGATGCAGCTAACTGTAGGTACACTGTATGTTTATTGTAGGAAATAATTTTTCTGTTCTTTAAACTAGATTCAGCTAATATTTAATTTTGTAAATGTTAAAGTTCATCCATCAAGTTATGTAATTCTAAAATTTTTACTGTATTATATTCTTGGTATCTCCTGTTAATGGCTTACTAAGGACTTAATTTTCTTCGAAAAATAATTTGGAATCACACAAAATAATATAGAAGAAAATAAAAATCTGTAATCCCACTACCCCAGATGTAGCAACTGTTAACATTTTTGTATTTGTATTTTATATATATTATAAAAACATGTATCTGCATACATTTTTGTTTTCTGTTATGCTGCTTCTGTTTTTCTCCATTAACATAATATTATAAGCATTTTCCATGGCATTATTGTTTTAAAACATTGTTAAATAGCAGTGTACTATTCTATTATATGTAAATACCATTGTTTATTTCTTTAACATATTATACTTAAGTTTTTTGCATAAGTGACCCAGCAGTGAACACATTTATACATGCATCTTTTTGCGTATGTAATTCTTTCCTTGCACTGATAAATTTCTAGAGGTGAAATTAGGAATAGGTCAAAGGTTATAAAGTTATTGTGGGAAGTTTTGAGTCTGTCTATGCTAGGTCTTTGTAGAATGTAATGCACTTTGAAAGTACTGGGTAAACCTTTCAGGGACAAGTGCTTTAGGAAATTATTTGTGCCTCTTATTTCTGCCTTAATTAGCGTGAATGTTGACTGAACTTTTTGGAAACCTTTTTAAGGATAATATATAATTACTTGTAAGGAGTTAGGTTTTTTTGTTTTTATTTTTTTCTACATTTGGAACCAAACTAAATAATAAGCCTGGGTTTGATTATATTGTGATCCAAATTCCTCAGATATAATTAAATTTATTTAGTATTGGTCCTACATCATCAAATCAGGGAATGTAGAAAAAATCTTTTCCCAAAATGTGGTGAGGGCAATGATTTACCTTAATGATAAGCCAAATAATTTTAAATGGGCTGTGTAAATGAGAATATATATTAAACCATGTCATAAGATTGGCAGCATAAATTCAGTTTTCTTTCCCTTTAGAAATTCATATTCTTCAAATTAAGATTTTAATTAGTTTAAGGAAAATATATCTCACATTAAACTATTTTAACTCTTTTTATTGCTAATCAAATGGGAAAATGGTTTTGTTTGTGTATTTTAACCACATTGTTTTTAGCTTTACTGCGGTATAATTGACAAAAATTGTACAACTTGATGTTTTGAGATAAACTGAAACAATCACTATGATTTATTCTAGGTGATGATGGTATTTCTACTTGCTTTTTCCTGTTTTGTGACATAACACATTACATGTACTTCTCTTACACTCTTTGAACCTTTTTTAATGGATTTCTTTTGTGTGTTAACCTTGTCTAGTTCAACTACAGGCTTCTTGAAGACAGGATTTTTATCTTATCTGTCACAGTTTATCCTTGTTTGTGTCTTCTCAGTAGACCTTCTTAAAGTCTCTATGCCTGTTGTGTTGTAGGGTTTCATTAAGTGTGTGATGAATGAATGAATAGTAGTTTATGTAATAGATACTATGGCAAGCACTGGATGTACAAAGATACGGTTCTTACAAGCATGAGAGAAGTAGATCGTCCATTATTGGAAACATAAATAAACTACAGGATTATAATTCCCTTAATAGAGCAAATAGCAAGTGTTTGAAGGTACATAGCAGAGTATGAGTAACTCTACCCAAGGAGTGCAGTAGGTGAAGTAGCAACCAAGCTGACTTGCAAAGGGCAGGTGTGAGTTTTGTGACAAGGGTTAGGGCATTCCAAATGCTAACATGTGAAAAAAAACAAAAACAGAACCAAACAGGTGTAAAGAAAATGGCATGTTTAGTATGTGAGAGGTATTTGGTTTTGAAGAGGTTGAGAATTTATATTCTAGGCAGTGATAAACCATTAAAGGTTTTGTTTTTGTTTTTTTTTTTAAAGCAAAACAGTAGCACAATTTGTGATTTGGAAGCATCGTTGTCATCAGGTTGGAGGGTATGACGAAAGCATCGGTAATACGAAGGAGGGGGCAGTTTAGAGAGATTCTTCCAAGTCAGAATTGACAGGCTTTCCAGTTCACTGAATGAAGGTTAAGAAGAAATCATTACTAACTTACAGGTTTTTGGCCAGAATGGCTGACTGAACTGTTACTGCCATTAACCAAGATAGAGAATAATATGAGTTCAATTTGGAACAGGTTGGTTGTGAAATTGGATGGAGGTCATATTTCCTTTAAAAAAGAGCTTTGGAGGGGCGCCTGGGTGGCTCAGTTGTTAAGCGTCTGCCTTCAGCTCAGGTCATGATCCCAGGGTCCCGGGATCGAGCCCCACATTGGGCTCCCTGCTCCGCGGGAAGCCTGCTTCTCCCTCTCCCACTCCCCCTGCTTGTGTTCCCTCTCAGGCTGTCTTTCTCTCTGTTAAATAAATAAAACCTTTAAAAAAGAATAAAAAAAAAGAGCTTTGGAAATCAGGAAAGAAGTTGGGGAGATTAAATTGTATATCTGGATTCATCAGCAAATAGATGTTGAAGTAAAGGTAGTAGATAAAATTACACAGGGAGAGCATATGGACAGAGAAGAGGAGGTAGCCGAGGACAGGACACTAGGAAACTCCAGTGAGTTGCATGTAACATATTAGATGGCTTGGTAAGGGCTCAGCCTCAGGATGAACTGAGACTGTAACATCACTTTTTTTTTTTTTTTAAAGATTTTATTTATTTATTTGACAGAGAGATAGTGAGAGAGGGAACACAAGCAGGGGAGTGGGAGAGGGAGAAGCAGGCTTCCTGCGGAGCAGGGAGCCCGATGCGGGGCTCGATCCCAGGACCCTGGGATCATGACCTGAGCTGAAGGCCGATACTTAATGACTGAGCCACCCAGGCGCCCTGTAACATCACCTTTTAATTTCTTCAGTAAATTTCCATGAATGGTGAATAGGGAATACCAAAAGTACTATTTGAAAAATGTTTCACAAGATTTTCTTTGACATCGACTAAAGTAGATTCGTAGGGAGAAAAAATGATCTAAAACTTTTGGTTTTAATCTGTATTTCTGTTTTAGATTGACTCTCTAAAAGATGCCTTTGCAAGTACTTCTGAAGGTAAGAAATTCAGCTAATCTTCCAGTATGTGAGATGCTTAGAATTTAGGGGTGGGAGATGTCTCTTAGAGTGAGTGAACACTTATCCCACTCTAAGATCTAGCACTGAGTTACAATGCCACCACTACCGCTAGTCTTGCTGTGTGAACAAAGTAAGCTGTCATACCTCTTTTTTCCTCATTTCCTTACCCGTAAAATAGGGAGAGTGATGTCTGCCTTGTTTATGTCCCAAGATTATTGGGAGAGAATATAAGTGAAAATGCAAAAATACACTGCAGAGCTCGGGGCAATATGGAAATGTGAGGAATGAATAAAGTGAAGGTATTCCATAATTTAGAAAAAAAGACTGATGTTGTTTCTTGGCCTGATAGAAAGAAATGTGTAATTGTGGGAATATACGTAAGCTAGCATAGTTCTTAGATTTCTGTGTATTGTAACATATTGTAACAGATAATCCTTTCAGGATCATACTGAATTAATTGTAGTTTTGCTGTTTTTTCTCAGGTCATGATAAAACACCAGTTTCCACTCGTACTCGAAGTAGTCATCTGAAGCGGCCAAAGATTGGGAAACGGTTTCAGGATTCTGAATTTAGTAGTTCTCAAGGAGAAGATGAAAAGACATCCCAGACTTCACCTACAGCTTCGATAAACAAGTAAAGTATTGGTTATTTTACTCTCATTATTTTGTTATTCTTATTTTCATATTTTTTAAAGGTTTTATTTAAGAGAGAGAGAGAGCACAAGCAGGGGAAGGGGCAGAGAAAGAGGGAGAAGCAGACTCCCTGCTGAGTAGGGAGCCTGATTTGGGGCTCAATCCCATGACCCTGGGATCATGACCTGAGCTGAAGTTAGACGCCTAACTGACTGAGCCACCCAGGTGCCCCTTTTTATTTTCATGTTATTAGTATTTAGTATTTAAGATGGAAGTTGTTATTATATTGTTTGTGTGGCACATAACCTTGGTGTAAGAGTTTGTATTTGAATTCTTCTACAGGATTACTGATTGTATTCACTTTGACATATTACAGGGAGAAGATGCTAGTAAGAAAGTAAAATAAATCCACAATTTAATCTCATGTCTGAAAATCCAAGAGAATATTCTGGTGATTATATTATCCCAACTTTGATAGTAGCTATAATTTTTAGTAATGCTGAGGTTTAGTCAGTTTTTTAAAAACCTTAAGTTTTATTTTATAATGGATTCATTTTACTGGGTTACTGGATATAACACAAATTAGCGATAACCATAAGTGGTTCAGTCCTGTCCTCTAGGAACTTAATAGCCAGCTGAATCAGTAGAACACTGGGGTCAAATCTTTATCCTCTCTCTTCCTGCAAACCTTAAAGAAAGGAAGATTTCAAATTTTATAGTAAAACTAGACTTTTTTGTTGTAATAGTCCTACCAGTTGTTCCTGAGTTAACCATTCATAGGTTTGCCGTTTTATCTGTGAAATTATTTTACTCAAGTAGAAAATTTTGTAGCTTTGCTAATGTCATTATGTAAATAATTTTAAATTTGGATAATTGTGTAATTATGTAAATGTTCTATTTTACTGAAAAATTAATGTTAAAGGCAAATATAACTACTTAAATATTTAAATCTAGTAACTTGTGAAAGAGAAGAGGTTAAGATAATTACAGTTTTCTTCCTGTGTAACATTTTGATGTAATACCCTTTTTTTTTTTTTTTTAGAGATTTTATTTATTTGACACAGAGAGACAGCGAGAGCAGGAACACAAGCAGGGGGAGTGGGAGAGGGAGAAGCAGGCCTCCCGCCGAGCAGGGAGCCCGATGTGGGACTCGATCCCAGGACCCTGGGATCATGACCTGAGCCGAAGGCAGATGCTTAACGACTGAGCCACCCAGGCGCCCTGTAATACCCTTTTTAGAAGGGAATATAACAGTGCATTTATTTATTTATTTATTTATTTTTTAAAAGATTTTATTTATTTATTTGAGAGAGAGAGAATGAAAGACAGAGAGCATGAGAGGGAGGAGGGTCAGAGGGAGAAGCAGACTCCCCGCTGAGCAGGGAGCCCGATGCGGGACTCGATCCCGGGACTCCAGGATCATGACCTGAGCCGAAGGCAGTCGCTTAACCAACTGAGCCACCCAGGCGCCCCTAACAGTGCATTTATATTGAACATCTCAGAGTTATTGTAGGATTTTGTTTGTTTTTCTTTTTTTAAAGATTTTATTTATTTATTTGACAGAGAGAGACACAGTGAGAGAGGGAACACAAGCAGGGGTAGTGGGAGAGGGAGAAGCAGGCTTCCCGCCGAGCAGGGAGCCCAATGCGGGGCTCGATCCCAGGACCCAGGGTCATGACCTGGGCTGAAGGCAGACGCTTAATGACTGAGCCACCCAGGCGCCCCCTGTTTTTCATAAATAGAACAGTAACAGTAGGACTACATGCTTGAATGCTTACTCAGCTACTATGAAGAACAAAATTGCATCTTTGCCCTTGAAGAATTGACTGCCTGGTGGTTTCTAATTAACTAGCTATACCTGTGACACAGGTTAGGAACACTGCAAGGTAGATTGTGATGGTACAATAATAGAAGTACAAAATGGTGTGGATGCAGAGGAGAGATTTGATTGAATCTAATTGAGGGGATAGAGAGATTAGGCATTTGGACCAGGGCTTGAAAGAGACGTTGAAACTCAACAAGCAGAGTCGAGAGAGAAGATGTTCTAGTCGGGGGCTGGTCCACAAACTATAGTCTGTAGATCAAATCTGATCCACTACCTATTGTTGTAAATAAAAGTTTATTGTAACACTTCCATATCTTAGATGTTTGTATGGTTGCTTTTGCATTACCGTGGCAAAGTTGAGTACTTGTTCAGAGACCATATGACCCATAAAACCTAAAGGAATAGTTTATTGACCCCTGATGTATACGAGGGTTATCCAGAGAACTTACTGTGATGATGAAAATGTGCTTTATCTGCCCGGCCCAAAATGGCAGCCCTACTTACTATGTCCATTGAACACTTCAAGTGTGGCCAGTGCAGCTTAGGAACTGAATTTTTAATTTCATTTAATTTTAATTAATGTAAATCTGGACATGTGTTATGGCTACTGTATTACACCATGCAGATATAGCATGAGCAAAGGCAAAAAGCTAAGAAGAATATTAATAAGGATAACTGATGTGTAATGTAAAGGTTACCATCTAGTAGGAAATAAAAATATGAGAGTCCAGGTCCCAGGCCAGCAGGCATTGTAGCAGCATGAGCGACTCATCAAAGTATTTGGCAATATGATGAGCAAGACGACCTCCGTTGCCTGGTGGATGAGGCCCAGCAAGATAACTCATGCAGGGGGGAGCAAGTAGCCATACTGTGAGCAGCCCTATGAGGAGGTACCCTGTGGCAACAGTCCCCAAGGAATTGGGTCCTCAATCTACTAGCCTGCATGAAGAGCTGAATGCTGCCAGCAACCACATGAGTGAGGGCTTGGGATGGTTGCAGGGAGCACTGCCAATCGGACCTTCAGACGAGACTGCATCCCCAGTAGCTGGGTTGATTGCAGCTCCATGAGACCTTGAGCCAGAGGTCCCTAGCTAAGCCACACCTGGATTCCTAACCCACAGAAACAAGATAATAAATGTTTGATGATTTCAGGTGTTAAAAAATATAGATATATATGAGGGTCTGGTCATGTTAGGCTTTGTAAGGAGATACACTTTATTCTCTAAGCTTTAGAGAACCATCAGAATTTTCTGAGCTCGACTGTCACAGGTACAGATGGGTATATATAAACAGAGCTCTCACAGCTTTACTAAAAAATGTATGTACTGCAAGTTCAAAGATGAGTTGGGACAAAGTTATGGTGGTCCAGAGAGAATTGGGGCCTGGAGGGGGGCCATAAATGGAAACAGAAAATTAGGGATGTTTGAAAGGCATTTTGGAGGTAGAACAAAACTATCATTTATTGTCCAAACTGATATCTTTGAGAATGAAAGGGGCATTATTAGTGACTATGGCAACGCTGGGACAAAAGCTATGAACTGGACTGTCTCAGGTAAATTGGGATGTGTGTTCATTCTAATAGAATGAGAGCCAATGAGATACGGTTAGAGTAAAAGAAGAGTCTAGCTTACATGTTTGAGGAGATGTGTGTTACTACTCAAACTAGAGAACAAGGTAGGAAAGAGGACAAGTTTGTAAGAAGAGGAGATTGGTTTTGGACCTGTAAGATTAGAACTTGTTGACCGAACAACACTTGGTGGATTCTCTAAAGTGTTACTTTATTAACACAATCCTAAAATTTTATATTCATCCTTAATAAAACAAGTAAGAGTGGTTTTCTTTCCTAGATTGGAATCTACTGCACGCACATCAGAGAGCTCAGAAGAATTCCTGGAAGAAGAACCTGAACAAAGTGTGATTGAATTTGAGGACGAAAGTAGTGATAAGGATGCTCGGCCTGCACCAGAAACCCAACCACGTGTGGAAAAGCAAGATGGTGAAAAGGTATGAGATCCCACTTATTAAATAAAGTAATTGAAAGTAAACTAAATTTTAACTTTCTTACTCATAAATTGTTAGAAAATCTGGTGATCTATTTTAGAGTCACAGTAGAAATTGTGTTTAATGCTAAAAAGCATATGTCTATACTGCCAAGGTCAGATACTGGAGGTGGGGAGAGGATAAAGTTATAAGTATCATTTCGTGTAAGTATCATTTCGTGTTTCAAACTGAATTTTTAAAAGTTTGACTTACAGCAAAGGTAAAATTGAGGATGTTTAGGTAACCTAGTAAGATCCCTCTGTATATTAAAATATAAATTAATTTGAGAGAGTAAACATACTTAAGTGACAAATTATATGACTATGAGGTATATCTTATAGAACCAGTTAGAATGCCATTAGGTCAATAAGGCCTCATTTGCACCTGTATCTTGGTTAGAAGGATAAAACTCATCATTCAAAATATATATTTGATTATAATTGATTACATATTCCTGGAAAAATAACTAAATTCTTTTTTTTTTTTTTTTAAACAGTAGAAAACAAATGGGAAAATCCTTCGTGACCAAGTAAATTCTTTATTTGGCCTGATTTCTGCAGCTCTTCCAGTATTTGTCCTTACCTTTTTTTCTTCCTCTTTTTCTTTAGTGTCTTCCATCTTTGGCTCTCTAGAGAGTCCTTATTTCTTCTGCCCTAGGTGCTTAAGATTCTTTAAAAGTTTTTTACATGTTTGCCAAGTCCAGCCAGCATCTGAACAAGTGAAACTACATTATCAACTTTACTTTCTTAACTTATTCTATAATATCTTTTTTTTAAAATTTTATTGATTTATTTGAGAGAGAGAATGAGACAGAGAGAGAGAGAGCATGAGAGGGGGGAGGATCAGAGGGAGAAGCAGACTTCCTGCTGAGCAGGGAGTCCGATGCGGGACTCGATCCCGGGACTCCAGGATCATGACCTGAGCTGAAGGCAGTCGCTTAACCAACTGAGCCACCCAGGCGCCCCTTAACTTATTCTAGTTTAGCTCCTGCTTTCTCTATTTCATGGAACTATTTTTTTTTTTTCAAGATTTTTTTTTTTTTTGATAGAGACACAGTGAGAGAGGGAACACAAGCAGGGAGTGGGAGAGGGAGAAGCAGGCTTCCTACTGAGCAGAGAGCCTGATGCAGGGCTCGATCCCAGGACCCTGGGATCATGACCCGAGCTGAAGGCAAACGCTTAGCGACTAAGCCACCCAGGTGACCCGAAACTGCATTTTTTTTTTTTTTTAAGATTTTATTTATTTATTTAATTGACAGGGAGAGAGAGAGACAGTGTGAGAGGGAACACAAGCACGGGGAGTGGGAGAGGAAGAAGCAGGCTTCCGGCTGAGCAGAGAGCCCAATGCAGGGCTCGATCCCAGGACCCTGGGATCATGACCTGAGCTGAAGGCAGTCGCTTAACCAACTGAGCCACCCAGGCGCCCCCCAAAACTGCATTTTTTTTTTTTTAAAGATTTTTATTTATTTATTTGACAGAGAGAGAGAGATAGCGAGAGCAGGAACACAAGCAGGGGGAGTGCGAGAGGGAGAAGCAGGCTTCCCGCTGAGCAGGGAGCCCGATGTGGGACTCGATCCCAGGACCCTGGGATCATGACCTGAGCTGAAGGCAGACGCTTAATGACTGAGCCACCCAGGCGTCCCGAAATTGCATTTTTAAGTGGCATTTTTTTCTTGTAAAAAATTTGGACAGCAAAGCACATGTTTAAAAATGTGCCTCCAGACATTTATGGGAATATATATTTGTTATTTTTCTTTTAAAAACTTAAGATTATGCTGTATGTACTTCATGTAATGGGTTTCATTTGTCCAGCAATACATTGAGCACATACTCTTGTAGGGCACCAGTGACACTTGAATCCACTTCCAGTGGTTTTCATCACCTAGATTGACTACTGTGTCTTCCTTAATATTCTCTAGGCCCTTATAACGTAAGCTTTATAACACCACTGTATTTTGGTTTCTTGGTTTTCCTTTCTGAAGTTTTGTTTTTGTTTTATTTATTATTTGACTGTTGTGCTTCCTCCTTTTTCCCCTTTATTTGTGGACATTCTAGAAGACTCAGTTCTTGACTTTCTGCTCTTGGTTCATGTTCTCTCTATGAAAATGTACCAGTCTAATGGTTGAACTCTCATTTCTGTGGGGATGACCAGTAACTCCAGACTGTGAATATTGATTGAGACTGTAATGCCACAGTATTACTTGTCTTCTGAATATTCTATGTAGACAGATGTATTTTATCATCTTAAATTCAACATAATCTCTATTCTTTATCACTTCTGTATTGAGCCTTTTTTTCCTGTTTTTCTTTTTTTTTTAATCTTCTATTTCCAAACGTAAAACTTGAAGGACAGGTTTTTCTCATCTGTTGCTTCTCACTTTTAGTTAATTACCAACATTCTGTTTTTTTTTTAAACTTTTGCTGTTTTTCTCACTTTCTTCCTTTCAGCATTTTTTCCTACCCTAGTTGATCCTTTCATGAGCTTTATCATAATTACCTTCTGTATGCAGTCTACTTTCTGTATACTCTTTGGCCAGATAAATTTTTCTAAGTCCCTGATTTCCCTATCCCTGTGACTTTAGGGATCCTACATAATCCATACCAACCTATTTCTGAGCCCTTGAGTGCATCATTTTATAATTTTTGTAATGGTAATAAAATGTCCTCTATTAGAATGTCACTAAGATCCATTAGAACTATTAAACATTAAATAGAAGTATTTTACATTGATAAACATTGGCAGAAGAGTTTCAGAATTGGAAGGTTTGTGTTATCAGCTCACTGATATTTCCATATTTAATGTGATAGAAGGAGTAGGATTGTTCAAAAAATGACCCAAAGTTGACTGGACAGTGAGCTAATTGAGACTGAGGCCTTTCTTCTTCTAGCAAGAAGCTGTATCCAAACTCAGCTTCCCACAAGCCTGGCAGTGCTTCCTCCCCCTGGCAGGGTAACCCGTAACTTCCCACAGGCCCCAAGGATTCCAAGTGCTGGTCAGCTGGTGTTCTAGAAAGAGCTGGCCTCAAATCTAGTCTCTGGTGCCTTTTTACTGAAAAGGTTCCACTCCTGATGGCCCTATAGGGAAGAATAAGAAGGGGACAGGGTGTCTTCACTGCATCTCAGACCTGTACTGCGTCTACAGAGCATCATGGTCTTTTGCTGTCTCCACGAGAACAGAGAGAGTTTGGGTTACTTGTGCGTTCTTTTCTTTTACTGACCCTGCCTGAAAAATTTCCTCTTTTCTCAGTAAAACTGTTCTTAACTCATGCCCTGCAATGTGGTAGACTTTATCTTGAGACCTGGTGCATGACAGGTGGAGACGGAGAATGGATCCACCTTGCATGACAAATAAGTTAGCTTATAATTGTGTCCTTACTTTTTCCCCCCAATGATGTAGGAATCTGAATTAGAGCCTATGAATGGTGAGATAATGGATGATACTCTTAAAACCTCACTTATAACTGAAGAGGAGGACTCCACCAGTGAAGTTTTAGATGAAGAAATAAAATTGCAATCTCTTAATTCCAGCGAAGACTCTACCACTCTTGTTCCACTGGTGGTAGAATCTTCAAAACCCCCTGACACTGTTGCACAGGATAAGGTAAGAGGGAAATAACTTAATTTTTTATAGTCAAACTGTTCCAGTGTTGGTGACATGGAAGGGGCAATATAGTATATATATTTTCCTCCCCCTTAATATATATATATATAGTCTTTCAGGAAAATTAATTCTACATTAATTGCTATGCTTAGATTAGGTATTCTAAGAAAATGTAATCAGCAATATTCCATAAATTCACATCTTTGTAACCTATAATACATACCTGATTTCTGGTAACAAAACGAGTTTTATTTTGTAGATTTAGAGAAATGCTTAGACAAATAGATAAAGCATTATTTATCAGATACTTGAATACCTATTGCTTACATAGTCTATGACAAATACAGTCAGTGTAATTTGCTTTAATTGCGGAGACAGATTAGATTAATGGGAAAAATCTGATAGAGTATTTTTTAAAGAAATTTTTACTTTTTTTTTTTTTTAAAGATTTTATTTATTTATTTGAGAGAGAGAGAATGAGAGAGAGCACATGAGAGTGGCGAGGGTCAGAGGGAGAAGCAGACTCCCTGCCGAGCAGGGAGCCCGATGCGGGACTCGATCCCGGGACTCCAGGATCATGACCTGAGCCGAAGGCAGTCGCTTAACCAAGTGAGCCACCCAGGCGCCCCAAGAAATTTTTACTTTCAAATATTCCAATTTAAGGCTAAAAACATTGTATAGCATTATTTTATTAGTGTCTCAAATAATTAAATGAATAAAATCTCCATTGCCCTTACCTATCATCTAATGAAATTGTAGTCAAACTTAGTGGGGTGGCACATTGTCAAGCCCCAAAGGACTCTTGGTTCTGGCTCCAGTAATACCAAGAAATTAAAAACGTTTAGTTGATTCATGGTTTTAAAGAACCTTGGTAAAGAAGTTTAAAATGTCCTAAGTACTTTTTGAGGTAAAATAATTACTTTTATTATATCTTTAAAGCAAGAACCAGGTTATCATGTAAGACAGTTTTGAAATAATTGACTTGTATTCAGAATATGTACACCTGATTAACGAAAGTAATGAGTACCGAATTCTTGAAAATGCAGTTCATTGTCATTGCATATTAGTGTGTAATTTATATAAGAAGTATACTGCGAAAGTTTGTTCACCAGGTTTTTTATTTTTAGACCTCACATATAACTGACTCAGAAATGTTGCTGGACGAAGGCCCATCTGATGAAAAGGGGCACACTGAAGAGAAACTGCCACTAGTTTCAAGAAAGAAAGCACATTTTGGGAGTTCAGACAATGTTGCTACTATCCCAAATGAAGAACGATCTGACAGTGGTTTTCCAAACTCTGTGATAGCTGAATTTTCTGAGGAATCAATCTCTGAAAATTTATCACCCAACACTACTTCTTCATTGGAAGACCAGGGTGACGAGGGGGTACCTGAGCCCCAGGAAACGTCTACAGCTCTTTCTCAGAGCTCTTTGATAGAAGTTGAACTTGAAGATGTGCCATTTTCACAGAACGCGGGACAGAAGAACCAGTCAGAGGAGCAGTCTGAAGCATCTTCTGAGCAACTGGATCAGTTTACGCAGTCAACAGAAAAAACGGTGGATAGCAGCTCAGAGGAAATAGAAGTGGAAGTGCCTGTGGTAGACAGGCGGAATTTAAGAAGAAAGGCCAAAGGGCATAAAGGACCTGCTAAGAAGAAAGCCAAGCTGACATGAATGAAGAAGATACGCAGATGATAAATCCTCTTTGTAACATTATTGTTTTTAAAATATGGTGATTAATAAATGGCATGGGGCACAGGGCAAAAATTGCAAAATTTCACTTTGAACTTATTTATGATGCCGGTTTTCCGTCCCCCTTAGGACCTGGGATTCACCATTCTTTTTAATTTTTCAGGCTATTTTGTGTAAATACAATTTTTTTTATTTTTATTAAACCATGTTTCGACTTTGGGAAACCAGATCATACTATATTTTCTTTAGCAATTGGGGACATCTGACCATTAAAATTTTAGAAAATATAAATTAAACTGAAAGTAGTAGGCTTTACATTACTTGTAAGGATCACAGAAATCTTTTATACTATGGATTTTAATAGTAAACTTGGTGAGGGTTCTAGAAGTTTTATCTTAAAAATCAAAACTAATCATTTTTTAAAATGTAGGCATGTCTAAACAAAAATGTCAGTAAATGAAAATATACTTCAACTAAATGAGAGCACAAATAAAAATTTATGGTGAAAGGTTTATGAAGATAGTATTTTGGCCTCTTAATTCTTAGTTGTGTAGATGCAGTCTCTTCCTTGGACTTCAGTGTCTGAGGAAAGGTATAAAATCTGTTTCCACCTCAGTCTTTATAACATCTAATATTTACGGTACTGCTAGGGATTTAACTCTGGCATGTAGGCACTAATTATAAAATATCATTTGAAGCTGGGGACTATTCGTTTTGTCCTCATCCAATTAACATGTATACTTCAGAAGTGTGAGAACCCTTCCTAAGGCTTCTCCTCAATCCTGTCACTGCCTTTACTCTAGAAATCAGATATTCTCCTCAGCTTTCATCCACTTCCCTAACTCAGAGTGATTCCTGCCAAAAGATCTGCTGCCTGTCTGCCAGCTTATGCCCTTGGCATCCGTATCTGGGTAGGTTTGGACTGTGCCCCCACAATCTTAGATCTAGACGGCAGGAATGAATCTGCTCAAGGAGCTATATAGTTCAAAGAGCTTAGCTCAAATTGGAGGCTTTGGTTGTTGCTCTGGTCTTGCTCACTTGTTCTGTGAGGACAGGTTACAAGCTAGCCTATGTGTATACATTGTGGTACTAGGCCTTTGCCTAGGAAAACTTAAATTCTCTTGTTAATTTTTATATAGTAATTTATTTAAAAATGAACAAAATGGTTATTCTTAGAATCCAAAGAGAATCTTAAAACAGTCCTACTCTTTGGAAGTATTGTGTGTACTCAGATTTGCAGTTAATTTGGAGAATCCTTTGAGACCATTAAGATTGTTTTTAAAACAGCTTGGTCCTTATAATGAAAGAACCACGTTATGACTTTGTGTCATTATTTGAGGTGCTAAGGATTGATGTCAAAGGTTTATCCAGTCTACAGTCAGGTGATGTCATTAAATTTTATTTTGGAATGTTGATATTTTAGGTCTAATAAGCTAAGTTAAAATGTTTAAGCAGGCAAAACAGCAAACCCTCCTATTCATGTAAAATTTTGAATACTTGTATCCCCTACATTTTCCTTAATTATTGGTCAGAGGCAAGCCAGATGATTTCACTCCAAGTGAAAATTAAAGCACTTTGGCCATTTGTTTTCTCAACAAATGCTGATTAATTGAAAAAATAAATATGACTGGTACATCTATCACATTTATGCTGTTTTATAGATTTTGTGAGAAACTTTACTATCACAATTAGGGAAATAAAGATATGAGGATTTAGTAAATTCTTAACCTTTCCATTTTTAATTTAAAATAGATTTAAAAACCTAATACTTAGATATTTTACTTTTTTACTTGGATTGTTCACTGTTCTCTTGAGAATACTTTCTTTAAAAGGGTGTAGTTTAAGACTGAGGTCACTGACAACTCTCGATATGTGAATATAGTTGCTGAGTTCACAAAACATGTTTAGTTATTCATATATAATAGGACTAACAGTATAAACTCGTAATTGTTAAACTTCTTTGGTTTATTCTTAAAACAGCAAGAGCATTTTAAGCAGTTTCAGAACTTTATGCTTAGCATACAAGAAAACTTTTATTACGTATTATCTCTGACCGAAAATGTTATTTTGGGGGTTTGTAGATGGTAGAGAAAGCTAGGTAACATAGAAAAACCTTACTTTCATGTTCAGTAACACGTTCATGTTCAGTAATGAGTTCTGTACTCAATGAGTATAGAATTTATAACAAAACTTATCCTCAATAAGGAATCTAAATAAAACTAATCAGATACTTAGTTTTTTGCAAGGCATTAGAAAAACTTGAGAATTATAGAGACTGAAATCGGATTTCAGCCAGCCAGTCTAGTTATTGAGTGTCTAGTCACATTCTATAGTCCTTTGTGAACTGCTTTTTTCTGTTTAGAAGTTTTATTTCTGGAAAAGGATTTCACTTCAGTTTGTGTAAATATGTGTATATTTCCTTGTGTAATATAAAACAGATATTAACAAAATTTTAGTTCTTTCAAGTTTAAATTATCCAATTGCTAGACATCACAGAAATATATTTAACAATTTATTATAAAGCTCCTCTAAACTTTTAAAGATGAGAGGATCTATTATGATTTTTTATAAAATCAAATAGCATGACAGAATGTCAGTCTTCTACTTAAAATGTCTATATTCACTGTGTTTCCATTCACTGCAAAGAATAAATATGGCAAGGATAACACTACTAGTGGTTAACGGTTCACTTTTAGCTGACCAGAACACTACCTAAAATTGTTTCAGTGACTTTAGAAAGTATCTTGAAGGTTTATGATTACATCAAATTGAGTCTTTACCTAGTATCTAAATATCTGCTCTTATGTACTGCTTTACCCTTAGGGATTACCTTCTAAGGTTTGGTCACACCAGCAAACTGATACAGATCTTGATGTAAATACAGAATTTATACTAACACTCATCTGTGTAACAGCATTTTAGAAATTTCTGCTTTGTATGTCCACTAGTAGCTAATCTGGTGTTTAAAGTCCAGTCTTTCATGGATGTGATTAGTTACAAATGTTATGCTTCTGTTGGCATACTTAATATAAAGCTTTCTTTGTAGAAGATACTTAATTTGCTTATTTTGGGTTCTAAAAAATAAGCAGACTGAGTTCTGTGGGATTATGCTTACCTCTATTTTTTTTCACCTTCCAAATCTTAGTCATTCACACATTCCCCATTTCTATTAGTGGCAAAATCAGTTGTTAAAATATAATTGTAAGAAAGGTTCAGCTTCCTGTCATCCTGAAGTAATTGTATCATACTGGATAGTCATTCCCAAGGAACTAGCCTTTCTTAAGTGTGTATGTGTTCTAAAACTTCTAGGTTTATAGAACTTAGAAAAGATGTTACGTTATTCAGAATAAAGTCTTATACTGAGGTACTCAAGTTTGTTTTCTTGGTAGGTTTTTTTTCCTTTTTTTAAGTTTAAAAAGTATGTTTTGTGATTGTTTCTTGGCCTGTGTTTTGATATTCTTTCCCTTTTCCCTACTTTAATTGACGAAGATGTGTTTAGATATTGAATTTGTTTAGACATTAAATGATTTTGTTAAAGGCACAATTAATCACATTGGTTGTACTTTCAAGACAGACTTTAAAAATAAACAATTTAAAACCATTAATGTGATTATAGATTAATACTATGGACGCCTTAAAGCTCAAAGCTACAAACATAATTCAAATCAAAAAAGTGCTTTGACCAAGTTAAAAGCCTAAAACATGACCTTTTTTATATTATCCAAGTAACTGCAAACAAATTTCTTTTTAAGGGCATCAGTGCATTCTTTTTCTTTTTAGTAAAACAATTTTACCTGGAATTACTTAAATTTGTAACCATCCTAAAAATATGAAAGCACAAACATTTTGGTGTATTTTTTTCTATATATGTTTGGAGTAAAAATACAGTTCCAAGTATTACTATACATGATTGAGAGGAAAAAAATGTTTAAAGTATGAATTCACCAACTTACTGTATGTGAAGACATAAAGGTGAAAAGATTTGTCTAAATCCTTCTGAACTCCATAGTGTAGTGTGCCTTCTCTCTTCTGTACTTCTAGTAGAGTATAAATACTTTATATAAACAAATGCTATCATGTGTTAATGCGACATTTCTTAGGATTAATGAAAATGAGGTGGAAGAAACTTCCAAGTAAGGTCTCATTTCGTAGTTTAGGCTCTATATTAAAGTGTGCACAGACCTTTATGATAAAAGGTGTTTTCAACTTTTCAACTACACTGGTTTTTCCAGTAACAACAGGTCTGCATTGCTGAGTATCCACTAAATGCAGATATGGACCAAGATATTTCTATAATTGCTTTTTTAAATTACTCAAACTTATGAACATCCAAATGCTAAAAAGACTCAAAAATAAAGACCATTTATTTTAATAAATGTCTATTTTAATGTTTTTCACAACAGAATAAATACTTCTCTTGATGACTGCAGATACGTAAGGCTGTTTGGTAGTATTCAGAACCACCACAGTAATGGTGGTCTTCCTGATCGGTGTGTAATCTTAAGTAATTATAAGGAGTTACTTCTCTGAAACTGCTGTCAAACCAGCAGGACTGCATTTATGCATCCATCATTTTCAGGGTTGTTGGTAACCTGGGCATATTTGCCTGAGGAAAACAAAATGGGAAAAGGAGGGATGTTAATGCTGATAAAAATTAACTTTGCCCAAAATATTTCTAATCATCACTTTTAAGAAAGAAAAAAAATAGATAGTAGGATCAATGAGATTTTAGAAATCACTCAAAATCAAACGAGTTCTGGAAACAATTTTTATATACTGTTTTAATACTTTTTACAATTGGTGGTCAGCTCCATTCTGTTACTAGGTTGTATTTAACAAGCCTTTGTGGATTGACCTGAGCATTGCTGCTTGTCCACATACTTAACTAGAAAATGCAACAAGTTTTAATTTTCAAATTAATTTAACCTATTTTATTTTTTTTAAGATTTTTTATTTGACAGAGAAAGACACAGTGAGAGAGGGAACACAAACGGATAGTGGGAGAGGGAGAAGCAGGCTTCCCGCCGAGCAGGGAGCCCGATGCGGGGCTCGATTCCAGGACCCTGGGATCATGACCTGAGCCGAAGGCAGATGCTTAACGTCTGAGCCACCCAGGCGCCCCTAACCTATTTTAAAATTGAGTTCAGCCAATATGAAGTATGAGTTAATGACTCATATGAAGACTCAATCAAGAAGTTAGAGTGTATTCTTCAATTTTAGAGAACATTAAAGTTTAGAAATACCTGATCACTAAAAGCAGAAAACTAAGAAAACGAAGAATTAAAATTGCTGCATGACATCTTTTATTTTTAATTACTACTGAAACTGTGTGGCTATGTGTTTGATAGGTCTCCCTTCCTCTGCTCATGGTTAATTTATTGTATTTTCTTTCAGTATATTTTGATTATAACTCACTTCCCATCTGCTTCCCTCCTAATTAGTGCCTTTATTTTTTTTAGATTTTTTTATTTATTTGACAGAGTGAGCGCGAGCACAAGCAGGGGAGTCGGGTAGGGAGAAGCAGGCTCCCCACCGAGCAGGGAGCCCGACGCGGGGCTCGATCCCAGGACCCCGGGATCATGACCTGAGCCAAAGGCAGACACTTCACCAACTGAGCCACCCAGGTCCCCCTAATTAATGCCTTTTAAAGCAGTCCTAAATTCTAATAATACAGTACACTTTGTATAACTGAAACCAGTAATCTAAGTTAAAAAGAATCACATTCACAACTACTTTGCAAAGATTTAAATCTGATTTACACCATTTTAGCTTAATCTAGCTCTTCTGCATTAAAATTTGCTATGTACTTTCCTATCAACTTGCAAACTTCAATTTTAGGATTGTGTAGCAGCAGTAGTCAAAAATTTACTTACCCCAAATAACTTTGCCTCCTTGTGTCACAAGGCCCAGCTCACTCACGTTCACCTCAATTACAGTGCCTTTGGTAATAACACCCAAAGTTGTATATAGCGGGGATGAAGGATTCTTTTTTACACCAAGTATTGGCAGGCAAAAGGTGGCTTTCAGTTCAGGATGTGTTACATGGGCCTTTTTGAAACGTAAGCCCTAGTAAATCAAACACAAAAATGTTACGAGTCTAAAATGTTAAGAACGATGAGCAATGATCCTTTTTGCTTTTCCAATTGTCTTCCAAATCAAACCCATGGATGAACAATGTCAAAATCTTAAGGCATCAAATACTTCTAATTCTACAGACTAAAAACCTGATAAATGCGTGGGGGAAAAACCCCAAACACATATTCCTGATGTTTTCAGCACGGAGTGTTAACTTACCAACATACTCAAGATTTTCCTCTGTTACCTACATTTTCTGAGGACTGGCTGCATGCCAGGCACTATGATGGAGCATACAAATAGCTTATTTAAGCATGATAACTTTACAACTCCTCCCCCATTTTTTTAAATAAGACAAAGATTGGCAGGTGAAATGACTTGTTCCTGGGTTGAATGGTGTGGATGCAATTAAACTTAACTATCTTGATTTTAAGTCTATAGACCTCAGCTGTTTTACATGATGAAAAAGGAGGGTGGACTGTCAGCTTTTCATTGATGGTAAAACTGGTCAAAGACTGGAGAAAGCCCAGAGAGGGGCTTTCTCTGTTAGACTGGAGTCATCTCGTCACCTAGATACGGCCTTTTGGGGTGTAGCACTTCAGAAGCCACAACACTATACAGTCTCCTAAATTTGGTTTTTGCCTGTATGGGGGTAGACGGTAGTGATACTGAAGTTCTTAGTAATGGACTCAATGAATTTTGTAATAAACTTACACAGCTGGGGATGCCATCTGACTAATGCACAATGAGATTTACCTGCCAAGCTACGAAAGCCTAGAACAGCATGATTAGTATATTCTCTCCCTATAGAACTGTTACCAAACTGTATTTAGAAGATTAGGAATATGAAATCAAAACAAGGGAGTCCATGATACAATCCAGAGATGGGTGAAGATTCTGTAAATGGGACAGTGGACACTTGAGGTTTTGCAGGCCATATTGTCTCTCCTACAACTACTCTAAGTCTGTAGAAAAAACCAGCCATAGACAACACGTAAATGAAAGGGCATGGCTGTGTTCCAACAGAACTTCATTTACAGAAAAAGGCTACTTGACAACATTTTAATCCATTAAAAGTTATTCCCCAGGTTGAGCACTAGGGTAACGCTGCCAACTTTCCTCTGATTGCTTTTCCAAGCAGGCTGGATTTCCAGTGAGGAGAGCAATTCAGTCTGTTTAAAGGACTGTGCAAAAAATACATAGCTGACCCTGGAACACAGGTTTGAACTGCACAGGTCCACTTACATGCAGATTTTTTCAATATAGTACAGTACTATATATTTATTTTCTTTTAGGATTTCCTTAACCTTTTCTCTCGCTTTAAGAATACAATATATAATACACATAACATACAAAATATGTATTAATTGACCGTTTATGTTATCAGTAAGGCTTCCAGGCAACAGTAGGTTATTAGTTTAGCTTTTGGGGAGTCAAAAGTTCAATGTGGATTTTGGGCTGTGCAGGGGGTGGGCACCCCCCAACCCGAGCTGCTGAAGGGTCAACCAAATGTTCAGTTACATTTGGGAAAGGGGAGAATGGTTTTGCCCATCCAGGTTGTCTATAGAAATTAAAGTTCTACTTTTATAGTAAATTCTTTTTTCAGTGAGTACATAATGTTTTTAAATGCAATAAGATAATTTTCTTACTAAATGGGAATTGCTTATCTCAAAGAGAACAAGTGTCAGGCATATAGGTTACTTGTTGAATGAGTAAGAGAACATGTGGAAAACAAAGATTCTAATACGACATATTTTAAAAATCAGGATTCAGACACTGTCTGTAGTAAGAATTATTTTCATCTCCTGTCTCTTATGAGGCCAAAGACAAGATTCTTGACAGTGGTGAAAAACTGCTAAGCCATCTCTATCAATAACTAAAAAAAAAAAAAAAAAAAAAGCCTAAAAATGTCTTTCAATCTCTTTTCATACCAATTTTAGAAATTTCAGGAAATTGTACTCTCTATCCAATCTAACGTAGCAACTAACATTTAATCCATCCCACTTTTGCAAGGGACTTACCATTGGTCTAATGAATCTTTCATATTTAGGTGGTTTTCGAGTAAAGCCGTCTCCAACAAAGCAGACTTTAGTGACCATCCTCTTCCATGCTTTCTTCTTTCTCTTTCCTGTTCTAATAACTTTTAATACTTCTGTTTCTCCCTGGGCACGAACTTTGGGTAAAGGAACTTCCCATTTTCCCTAAAAATAGACCATAGTTAAAATTTATAATGTTTTAGTAAAAGGCAATGAGGATAAAAAATTTATGTTTTAGTTGTACAAAGTACTGGATTCAACTTTTTCCTAAACCAACAAGATTTTGGCTCCCATGTTTTCTAGAAGTCTGCACCGTCTCCTCAAAAGCCCCAAATTAATTGGTACTTAAGTTTCTTATCATGGATACATTAAATAAAATGGTTTGTGGGGCACCTGGGTGGCTCAGGTCATGATCCCAGGATCCTGGGATTGAGCCTCCCTGCTCAGCGGGGAGTCTGCTTCTCCCTCTCTATCTGCCCCTCCCCTTGCT